AAGTCTACAAGGAATCTACAAGCCTATGACATGACGGAAACAGATATGCAGTAAACATTGTATACTCGCCAAGTGAGATGAAGTCTACAAGGAATCTACAAGCCTATGACATGACGGAAAAAATATGCAGTAAACATTGTTTACTCGCCAAGTGAGATGAAGTCTACAAGGAATCTAAAAGTCTATGACATGACGGAAACAGATATGCAGTAAACATTGTATACTCGCCAAGTGAGATGAAGTCTACAAGGAATCTACAAGCCTATGACATGACGGAAACAGATATGCAGTAAACATTGTATACTCGCCAAGTGAGTTGAAGTCTACAAGGAATCTACAAGCCTATGACATGACGGAAGCAGATATGCAGTAAAAGTTAGTTATTAATCTAATTCTTTTCTTTGAAATGTAATTTGAGAGCTCCTATTATTTCTTTCTTTCTCACACACTATTATGCCTATCGTGTAGTCATTGGGTCACAGCTCAGTTAAGTCAAGTCAAGTAAATCTGATCAATATACACCAGCAGCGGTTTTCCAGGTGAAGTTTCATATTTTCTTATTAGTGTCTGTTATAACTACTTATCATTCCTAAATCTCAAATGAATGCTAAAAATAATTTACACATGAAATGTGCAAGACTACAGAAGGAACAAACATTCAAACTGAAAGAAAAAAGGATTCAGATGCTATTTTGACATCAGATAAACAAAGAAAAACTAATACAAAGTTACAGACCGAGCTGTTTTCATCGAGATATCGGTTGAAAAATTAAGAAACTAAGGTTCAAACTCCTTCAGGCAAAGATGAGTTTGACTATTCTTTTCAGATCCCTGTTGTTCTTATAGTTTCACACGTATTCTAAGTATTTGCACATCTTTGGTTTTCAATTTTTTTGGGGGGTGTGAGCGTTCCTGATGAAGATTAATAAAGAAAAGCGCTTCGCACGCACAAAGTTTATAAAGTATATTTTCATTTGAAAACAATTTTGCTGTGGTGAATAAATATTGTGTTGCTTTTTTAAAATTTCGTGTTTATACAGCAACGAACAAAGACGAAGTAATTATAGAAGCAGAAAACAATGCACCCTTATACATCATCTTCTTGATTAAATTCATCCAAACCGGCACCAGTTGTCCGTCAATGCAATTGATTGAGCAGCTAAACTGATAATTATTTAATGTTGTACGATTAATAGGAAATGGACAAGGCAAAGAAGACACTTGGCAATTCAAAAAAAAAAAAGATATACAAAATAACATCTACAGGTTGTTCAAAAATGTGAGATATATAAGAGAGTTAACATGTAAATTAGTAAGTAATGTAATGATTATTCAGTCTGTACGTGATCGTAGAAACATATATTCCGTAACCTTCAATGATATTTGTACTATAAAAAGAATGTAAAACCAACACATATGCAGTTAATATACCTACGTACATACAAGTGTCTTGTCTATTGGAGGGATACATCGTACTTTGTAAAAAATCACTCGGATTCAAACAAGAAATTCTCTGAAACTGACATTATCAAGATGCTTGATTTCTTGATTGACAACATATTTGTTACGTTTGGAGGACATATTTTTCAACAAACAATCGGCATTCCCATGGGAACTACTGTGCTCCTCTTTTTGACGACTTGTTCCTTTATTCATATGAGGCTGACTTCATAAAGGAACTTCTTAGGAAGAAAGACAAGAAGTTAGCAGTATCCTTTAACTTCACTTTCCGCTATATAGATGATGTTCTTTCACTAAATAATTCAAAATATGGTGACTATGTTGAACGCATCTATCCCATCGAACTTGAGATAAAGGATACAACAGATACAGTTAAGTCTGCCTCATAACTTGACTTACATCTAGAAATTGACAATGATGGTCGGTTGATAACAAAATTTTACGACAAAAGAGATGTTTTCAGCTTCTCAATAGTGAACTTTTCATTTCGGTGTAGCAACATTCCAGCAGGGCCTGCATACTGAGTATATCTCTCAGTTGATATTTCAGGGCTTGTATGTCCTATCATTTTTTCCTTGACAGAGGATTGCTGCCCACAAGGAAGCTATTACACCAAGAGTTTCAAGTGGTGAAGTTGAAATCATCCCTTCGTAAATTTTACGGACCCCATCACGAATTGGTTGACCGTTATGGAGTATCCGTTTCACAGATGACAACGGATATGTTCCAATTGTCGTAACTACAATCCCGTCCCTTTCCCCCGAATGTGACATACCGAATACGGATAAATAACAAGGCACTATGACTGATGCTGTACTTTGAGTAAATTGTTCAAAGAAGTGCAATAAAGTAGGTTAAAAAGTTATAAAAGAAATTGTAAAGAGATCATCTTTCTAATGCTTGACTTTAAGCGTTCCTGATGAAGGTAAATCCAGAAAATCGTTTCCTACGCATTAAAATAATAAAGTCTTATTTCCATTTTTCAGTCGTTCTTCTTAATATTAACTTTGCTATAGTAGTTTTATGAAGTTACTGAGAGCATCTCTAAGTTAATTGAACCACTATGACAAGAACAAGCTGTTCTGTATGGTACTAACCGAAATAAATAAACGTCAAAGTCTGTGGAAGGTTGTATGTTACTACATGTTGGTGTAATATCTGCTAGTACTATTTTTTTTAGATACAGGACCAAAACTTTATTCTAATCAGGAAAACTTGAGTTTGTGTACTTTAATAACTATCGGCTTTCACCATAAATTTCATGTAATTGCATACAATATTGCATTAAACATATAAAATGAAAGACATTTATCATTCCGATCCCTGTTTTAAAGGAATTCAATTTTTATAACAATCTTTACGATATTAAAACAAATGAAAGATAACACAGATTCTATGCCATCCTTTACTTTAATTAACTTACATAAATAAAAAATGACACATATTCTATGCAATCCTTTACTTTAATTATCTTATATAAAAACCGAATCACGTAAACATTTTACTTTCAAATGAAAGATAATTAAATATTTACTGTTTAATACCAGCGACACATATTACGTATTGTTGGAAGTGCAGTTATCATTCTATTTTTGTTTCTCGCGATTAATATAGTTGGTTATTACTCTTTGTTAATATCTTTACATGTTTATTTTTTATTATAAGATTGAAAAAGAAGCTTAAAATCCAAGAAAATAAAAGATCTAAATCAATGTTATATACTTTTATTTTCTATTATCGTAATTTTTTCAAATAAAATGAGATGCTGAATACACGTCAATGAGACACAGCAACCCAACGACATCAATAAAGTATGAATAAATGAATTGAGGTTTCCGAAGAGTATCGAATGATTGAAAAATGAAACATAATTTCGCCATAAAAAATGGGCAATTAAATTGTATGCCTTTAAGGTATTTACATTGATCGCGATTTTAATTTAAAATTAAATCATTGTCCCACAGACCATATTTCCTCCATTTATTGTTCAATTTAGCCAAAAGAAAAAGTTGAATATGTATTTTTAAAAAACGTATTTCGAGAAATAACCGAAAATACAATTTTACCATAACTTCTATGTTTATTCAAGGCGGTCATATTGTTATGGAAGATGTAAGAGAAATCTCAAACTTTATGACAGACTTTGTAAGGATGATTCAGGCCAACTTCAGACTTAATTGGGATGTTTGTTTCAGAAGAGAAGATTTTTGAGTAAAAAAGTTAATGAGTACGATGGACCCCAAGTGATGTTAATAGCTCACATCATCCATTGGTCTAGTTGAGCTAAACTGGAATGCATTCTGTTCTATATTTAACGATATTTGCTTGTATCAGAATATCATTTGTGTAAATAATTATTGTCTTTCAACATTGGTTACATTGGTTTAAAAAAGTGTATAACTTGTATACATAACTTTTGGGCTTTTAAAAATATGTTGAAAATCAGCATAATCTTAAAGCTTGATTAAATATGTGTATGTTTTTATTGTATGTGTTGATAATCTATTTGTGCGTTTAGGGTTCCATGAAAGGGATTAAGTGTTCATGAACGTCTTGAAGACTTTCTATGAGGTTATATTAAGCATGAAAAGAGAAGATTATTCATTCTAAATTACGGTATTATCATCTTCCTCAGAACTGTATATGCCTCCTTATGAATATTACAGAAGTTGCTGCTACATATATAATTACTATAGGCCTTTTGAGAACGTACATGTTATACGTTATTGCAGGAACATCACCAGAGTTGTTTTATATTGCAGCTTTAATGATTTTTGATAGTTTTACCATCAAAGTTATTTTTCATATTGCATAATCCATCAAATCGGAATCGGAAGCACTTTTTGAAAATATACTAATATATCTTACCTCCTATACATTTCTAGGAATATGATTGATTGAAAGCGACCGCGTGGAGACCTGTATATTTCATATGGGATTAGTAGGCGTGGCTTATTTTAATACACGATTAGTAGTGGTATTACGTCCCTTTATAAAAAACAACACGGCGTTGAAGAAAAATCTGAAACGTTTGGCTAGGACAACAGATGAAGAAATTGATGATGAACGATTGAAATAAATGCAGAAAACACATCAAAAGCTAACAAGTTGTTATTGTTGGCATTTCGTGTATTTGGATAAACCAATGGAAGTAGGCTATTTATATAAAAGACTTGATCACTTTGATAGGCCATTGGTGTAAATGTCACATGTTAAGATAGTCGGGAAGGTAAATTCGTTACACAGTGTGCTAGTGACCTACTACGATATATATGGGTCAGTAAATTCCATATGGGGTTTCGCTCTCATCCCATATTAAATTTACTGACCCCATATATATCGTATAGGTCACTAGCACACTATGTAACTAATATATATATGTGTAAATCATGTACTGTACATATAAAAAGTGGCGCATGACCTTCGGACAATAACTATAAATGATATGGAAGGTTAATCAGCTCTTTCCGCACCAGTGGCACCGATTTAATTTGGAATTTAATAAATACTCTGACTAAATACGAAAACAAACGCCCATCAAAATAATTTATAATGTTTTCATTTATATGACAATATGACAATATGACATGCATTCTTGCTTTACAATTATTGCCAAGCATTATAAAGCTCCCTCAAAGCTAGCTACTTTTCATTTATCTACTGTTTGGTTTGAAAGGCAAAGGACAACTGGTCACAATAGTAGGCTTGTAACCAAATACATAGATTACTTTTTAGTTGCCGTGGTAATTATTTTAAGCATATCACAATGTGGTAAATGTTGTCTCAATATTATACATGACAGTTAATGACAATAATCAATGTGGTGAATGTTGTCTCAATATTATACTTGACAGTTAATGGCAATAATCAATGTGGTAAATGTTTTCTCAATACTATACATGACAGTTAATGGTAATAATCAATGTGGTAAATGTTGCCTCAATATTATACTTGACAGTTAATGGTAACAATCAATGACATGTATAATAGATTTCAAAACTCAACATTATTTTACATCAAGATTCGTCATAAATGCATCATATCTAGATTTCCCCCATGAGTACGACAACAACATATGATTAATACAATTGTTCCATCGGCAGTGTTTATAATTTTACAACTATGCATATACATTAATTTTGTTCCTTTATAAATTTCAATATGATTTGATTAAAATGTACTTTCGACTTCAAAACCATCCTCATCCTCTTCTGACTCCGATTGGTTTTCATCGAATGAATCTATATCAGACGAAACTAATGATGATGATGACGATCGATTTTCGTCGAGTGATTTGGGGTTTCCAAAAGGCGACGAATCAAGAAGTGCAGTCTCTTCATCTGCACATCTTGTATTTATTTCTCTGCTAAATGTCCGTACTATACCCGAAACACATCGCTTTGGAAAGAGTGTTTCATGTGTCAAGGGATAGGTGTCACTAAAAGCATCATTTTGTAACCCGGATGTTTCCTCACTTATTCGAGAAAGTGACCTTGGAATGTTTGATTCTGCATTTCTGGAAAGGCTCGTGGAATCAGATCTTGATCTTGAAATACCATGTGTCATTGATACTGCTGCAAAACATGTAATAAATGATACAATGAATTAAAAGAGTAATACTGTACTAGTCTTGAACGTTTAAAAGTATTTTATTCAAAAGTTCTTCCCTGTCGTGTTATGTTATATAAAAATTAATACTATCAAATTATTAAGGGCCTGGTTTGTCTGAGCCAAGACACTTCTGAAACTACAAAACAGCATAAAGCTCTTAAAGTACTAAAACTATGTGATATATTTTACAACACTTCCTTATCACACTACGATGAAATATATATTTAGTTGTTCTCCATCATGATGCTTTTTTTTATGACTTATAGACAAACCCGGCACGCCCTTTTAACATTGCGATGAAACAGATTCATGATTGTTCTTCGTCCTGACGCCGACCTATAGACAAAAGCCGACACGCCCCTTTGAGCCTTTGAAGTAAAGTAGTGACCCAGGTATATTCTAATTTGCTTCCCATCCTGGGTTCCAGTGTTCTTTGCCCTTCGAGGGTAAACATCCAGAAGAACTTTGTTATTTCTCAATGCCCCCTGGGATGACATTCTGGTTCTGGTCCTCCAAGTCCATCAGGTTTCTGTCCACGGTGGCTGGATATCTCAGTCTGATGAGATTTTGAAGGATCACACAAGTTGTGATGATTTTTCTGTATGTTTCTACCCTCTTGTTCATGGTCCTCGGCAAAACTCAGAACTTGTGTGGAAGGATACCAAAGGCATTCTCCACTACACGCCTGGCTCTGGAGATTCTATAGTTAAATATTTTCTTACGGTGTTCAATTTTTTCTGATGGAAAACGTGTTCATCTGGCACTTCTTGATCCCAAAAGCATTCTCCCCTACTATGTAGTATGGGACAGGAACGTCTTCACCAGGCAGATACTTCTCTTCAGGGAGATTGCATATGTTGTTCGGACTTTCCAGGCCTGTCTTCAGTTCTGACCCTTTGTAGATACTGGCATCGTTCCTAGAACCATCAGAGCCGACATCAATCCAGGTAAACTTATAGTCTACGTCGACAAGGGTCATGAGAACAATGTAGAAGAAGCCCTTGTAGTTTCTGTACACAGAGCCAGTATTTCTAGAACAGGGGACCGAAACATGCTTGCCATCCAGAGCACCACAGCAGTGTGGAACTTGCTATTTCTTCTCAAACTGCTCAGCAATGGCGGTCCACTCCTCAGTTGAAGTAGGAATCTAGATCACCTCAACAGCAAACTCGGCTTAGATGACATCCTTGATGATAAGGGAGATGGTGTTTGGAGCAGCTCTGAGGTTGAAGGACATGCTTGGATAATTGTCAACGCAAGCCAGGTGTCGTAAAGAGATGGACAGCTTGAGACGAGGAGGGAGAGACTGTCTGTACCATGTGTCCTTCTTCTCTATTCTGCCTTATAACCTTCGCAGGTCCTAAGCGTAGACGCCCTAGGAAGTCTTGTGTAGTGGTAGAAGGATTTCTCATCTTCTGTCTTCAGCTTCTTTATTAGAGTTCTATTGTGGCCATAGCGTTCTCTTCTTTTGTCAGACAGCCATTTTTTGACCCACATAGACATCGATTTCCTCCTTTGCCTCAGTTTGTCCCTGCACTGGAATGTAAAAAGCAAAACAAGATAAGGACATTGTCGAATATTAAAAAGGCAAATAGCAAGATATGACAAAGATATGCTGCCTTCTTTTTCCTAATTGTCTCATCATCAAAGTATCCATTCTGCAGGGACTGAATTGTGAATAATTGTGATTGAAGCTTCTTTAGAAGGTTCACACGCCTCTGTTCTTTAGAATTGCTCAGGACAGTCTGAGGAAGATGTTCTGAGGCTGACCTTTTACATGTCCATGCACGTTACCATGACACATGTGAAACGCTTGAGCTACTCAAGTAAGGCTATCCTCGCCGACACCGTGGTCTCATCTTGATGTCATCGAACTATAATACATGTACGATGGCTAAACGACGGCATTATATTGCGAGGGCTTTGCGTAGTCGTGTGGCCTTCATTAGACAATCGGGCAGCTTCTTGCTTCCTTCGTATTGTCTTCCAGAGGCGAAAATGCCCGATGTCACCGATGATCACACGGAGTAGAGACGAAGATGACACGATTTGACAAGATGCCCTCACGATAGCCTTAAGAATGGCAAAATGGACAAACAAATTCAGCACGAAAATGAAGCTTCGCAAGGTCTTTCGGAAATTTTTTGGCATGCCAAAGATTTTACCACCGTTCACAAAAATGTCTTAAGATGCCCTCACGAATGGCCCTATGTTTTTACGATCACACCCGAATTTGAACATTTCCTTTACCTTGTGTCCATCTGGTGTCAATTTCGGGACAGTGTGATGCCTGTATAACCTGTAACAGTGGTATAAGTAACAGCATAAAATAAGTCATGAGCCTATAATTCAGTAGTTGTCTTTTGTTGTTGTATAACATTTTTGTTTTCGTTATTGTTTTGTACAGGCCGTTAGTTTTTTTCGTTTCAAATTGTTTTACATTTTTCATTTCGGATCCTTTTATAGCAAACAATGCGGTATGGGGTTTGCTCATAATTTGAAGACCGTACAGTGACCTATAGTTGTTAACTTCTATGTCATTTGGTCCCTGGTGGAGAGTTGTCTCATTGGCTATCATACCCCTTTTTCTTATTTTATAAAGAACCTGTAAAAATTGGTTGGAATTAGCTTGAGCTTTCAGATCGGCACGAGGCACAATAAAAATAACCTTAACAAACATTAAAATATACTCTACTTGAAGGTATTTCTGGAATGTTACTACATAAAAGTGGAAATAGAACGCAAAATTTGAAAATTAAAGCCACTTTTTTTGCTGTACTGTTTAGTTCCAAAGCGACCCTCAAAGTCTTTGATTTAGCAAATGAATAGAGCAGATTAGTTGTAGCCTTTAATTAATTTCGTGTGTCACTGTAGCAAGTTATCAACTGATTTTCGTCAGACGGAATCATCATTTTCACCTTTTTCGAGTCGTGCTAATTTTTTTATATTATTTTGCCCGGACTTTTGTACACATCATATGACCGTCCCCTATATGTGTTAGTACATTGACGAAGGATGAAAACAATACATTCGTCGTTGAATTTGTAGAGGCTAACGTTAATATATTCGCAGGTACAATGAAAGAAAATAAGTGTAAAAATGAAAATCAAAATAAATTTTGAATACTACGAAGTCTGGTGGAATTATAAATTTTTGGAACGTTTGTGCGCATGAAAAGTAATAAAAATAGAGGCAGCAGTGTTAAACCGATGTTTAAATCTTGCAAATCCATCTAGAAAACACAAATCAAGATAAATAGAATCTGAGGGAATCTCAGTAACTCCCAATGTATCGAGACCAGTCAGCCAATTTGTGATGGTGAACATAAAATTTATGTAATGTCGATTTCAGCCGTTCAGTGTCACACTTTTCTAATCTATGCTAAAAGTTCAGCATACATTTTTTACTTAATATCGATAAACTGCTATATTGGAACTTTTTCTATAAACGCTCAATATGTATTTAAAAATAAATCTATGGAGCTTTTCTAGATCTTTTTTAATATAATTTTTCTGAAGGAGGAAGTATATTGAGGTCTTCTATTAAAATTAACAAAAGAAATATTCGTTCTATGCCCATATTTGGTCAAATATCACGTTCCTGGATTCGTTGATAACTTTGTTTTTTTTTACATGAAAAAGAGCCATACGCTGTAAAGTAATAACTGCATATTTATAACTGCATACTCATTTCAATAACGATCGATGACGTTTTGAGTGTTGGCATTCTGCTGATGACCATGACAATAACATCGAATCATCTGCATGCAATAAACAATTCATCTGTAACTTAATGTATTACTGTTCGCATGCCACGTATTCCATTTATTATTCGATTTACAGGAATTTATATGAAAACAGGAATATTGAAGATGAAATTTAGATTGCTTCTAACCTTGATCAGCTCAAAGAATGCATTTCTTTTACATAGTTGAACACATCTTTCCATACAAGATTATATTCTTATAAAAACCAGCACACGCATGCAAGATCATGGGCACATAATTGACTTCAATTATTGAGTACATTGTAAATATTAGCACTCGCTATTGTCAACCAATAGTAAAGTATGACTAATGTGGAAAAAATATTGTGCATTTTTTTTTTTATTCATTTGGAAAAGCTGTCTTTTCTACTTGTCATCGCTCTATTCTGTACGTCAAAACTAATTTCCTTACTTACAACAAGACGTTTACCATGACAAACCACACATTTCTGAAACCTGAACGTCACATTATTGTTCGATTTATCATCCGATAATTCCCCACAATACTATGGTATATTTTAGCTTCTTTTTTTTATATTATTTAGTCAAATTTAATCAATTCATTTGTCTGTAATTTCAAGTGTGTCTTCGTAAAATGTTGACAGTGTTTTGTGCATTGTTTTGTATTCTTTCTCTGAATTTGTTTGAATATTTTGTTAATCGTATTTCATATAGGTAAACTTGGTTGATTTAACCTTGAAGAATACACGTATTTTTACAACCATCACTCGTTATTCATGAGTAATTCCAAATAACTGACAATCAATTTAGTAGTACGATTCATATAGCATCATCGATTTATGTGTCTAGCAATACATGTATCTCAATGTCTCAGAGGATACGGATTACATAAATCAACATGTCCCTAAGTATTCATCGTTAGTCGTATGATTTCTTTTATTTTATTGATGAAGTTGTATTGAATATTTTCGAAATGTTCTATTTATCCCAATGTAAAAATTAAGTTGAATGGAGCTAAACGCACGATATTCGCAATTTTCAAAGATAAAATTGACGAATCGTACTCGCAATCCTACATGTATACAATTTTAAGCTTTTGCAATTTAAGGCGCTACCCGTTAAATAAAAAGTTTATCGCACAATGTACGGTTGAATAATTTACCTGTTTTTACAATGTGTAGGCAAGCTTTAATAAAACATAAGAAGATGTGGAATGATATTGGAAATGAGACAACTCTCCACCAGGGTTTAATGTTCTGTTCTGGTGATCTGCGTGACGCCTAAACGCATGGTCGCTTGCCACATGCACAATTGAAAAACCATAAAACGGCAATAAATAACATTAACGGTACCATTTTTACTGCACCAGATGCGCATTTCGACAATAAGTATCTCTTCAGTGATGCTAGAGGCCAAAATATTTGAAAACCAAAACTTATTCAAACGTTGAAGAGCTGATCAAAGTAAATGATTTCGGTATGTTGTCACTTGAAAACTGTTTACAAACAAAGCAGATTGATTATATGAAATAGAAAAAAAAATTATGGGAAGAATCAAAATCGACCGATATTTCGAATAAATTATGTATCACGACCGAAAAGTACGCGAAAGAAAACTTGTTATTTCCATGTTAATATTATTAATAACACGTCCTGATTAGTCGAAGTCAAAATATTTATAGTACACAATCATACGTTAAAGAAAAGCAGAAAACAAGGCAAATGAAAAAAAGACGAAAAGACTATCAACAGTATTACACAGAAAACATAAGATTGAGCAACACAAATCCGATCAAAAACCGGGGTCAGCAGTCCCTGCTCAACCAGTGAGAACCGGTGTAAATGTATGCCATATATCATAACGACAGGATTACCTGGTATAGTATCTTGTACCTTGGCACAGCAACAACATCTCTGTTTCAGGGCTTTAAACAGATTTTTGTAGCCTCTTCTGTACGATGTATCAAACAATCCATAAAGAATAGGGTTGAGTAGTCCCGATAACGTAGTACTAAGTAAAGCATACAGGACGGAAATATCACTGACTGTTAACCCTGCTTTCTGTAATGTCATCAATAGCTATAAAAAGAAAATGCCTGTCTTAGATTCAAGATAAATGTACCTTATACAGTAAGGCATGCATTTCACTATTTTACATCAATTGTTTTTATAATCATAAGTTGTCATGATGTAAAAAATCTTGTCAAACATTTTTTAAAACTTACCTTTTCATTAAAAGATTAAAAAAACTCTTTGTAGGTTTGTAGGTTTTATTTGTATACAGACGGACTTTAAAAACGCAACACTAGATTATTATTTTTCATTCTCATCTTTAAATATGCAATTGTTGTAAAATAAATGTATGAACATCAATTTCATTCATTATCTAAAAAAAAGTTTGGAATTCGAAAGTTGAATGGATAACGTCATGGTTAATGCTCAAATCAAGTGGTTAAGCACAAAACCCTGGGTTTTGCCCTAATTAATGGATGCGTCACCGTCGAAGGCAACGACTTCCTGTAACCAACGCCTAAATGATTGGCAGAAAGGTCAACCAGTTCTGTTGGGCATGTTTGAGTTCTGTTTTGAACCTTCCGATTTGGCCTCTGTTCCACCCATTACCGTGTGGTTTGGCAATTATGCGGTTTAAACTTTAGGGCTTTAAATGTTCTTCTGCATTCTTTGGCATTTCAGTATATGGGAAGCACTTATTGCGTGAATCTGTCCGTCAAGGCATTCAACGACTTGATTAGCAGTTGACGTTGCGACCGTAAACATGTCTCGCAAAGGACGTTGCGTAATCAAATCTTATTGACGTGGCGTTGTCACTACATATTTATCTGGTCATGGGTGGTCATCAACAAATCCCGTCTGCCTGTACCGTTGTTGTTAGGACAGTAAGAGGCGTTTCTGATGTGAAATTGTCTAGCAACAGCACGTTCACGTATTCCTGCCTGCAATATCCTTATGGATTAATGTAGATTTGTATTGCTCAGTTTCGCCAATATTGAAATGCAACATTTTTTTACTGATTCAAGTATGGGTATGGATTGAACAAAATGTTTAACGAAGAAAAAAACCTTAATAAAATCTTTTATGGGTTTCAGATTTCGTCTTAAGAAATTCTTGCGACTTCAATAATCCGATATGTTCAATAGCCTCAGCTAAGTCAGCTATTGAGTTTTTCTAAACAGAAAGAAGTAAGATAATCATGAATAGTAGGTATATGATCTGGAACGCCAAAACTGTCTTGTTATCCCCATTTTCATCATATGATGTGCATTTACCTTTATATGATGTGCACTTGTCATTTTGTGATGTGCAAACGCCTTTATATGATGTGCAAATATCCTTATATGATGTGCAAATATCCTTATATATTGTGCAAACATCATTATATGATGTGCAAACATACTTATATGATGTGCATTTTCACTTATATTATGTGCAAACATCTTTATATGATGTGGTTGTGTCATTATATTATGTGCTTGTAATCTTATATCATGTGGTTCGGTTTACTTCATTATATGATGTCGAAACGTCATTATATGATGTGCTTTCATCGTCATGGTCAATGAACATGATCACGATTAGAATGATTACTGTCTACGTCATAACTGATTCCGATCTGCTACTGCGGAGTTAACAATACCCGGCTCAAATTTGTAGCTATCGCTAGCGAAATTGCATTTTATAGGAAAATTGAGACAGTGCAATTTAACAAAAATCAACGATTCAAACATTTTGGAGGAAGATTAGGTATCTATTTGAAGAATTTCCTGGCTGCGGCAAAAATATGACAAAACAAATTTTGTGGCCCTTTATAGCTTGCTAGTTGGTTTGAGCAAAGGCTCCGTGTTGAAGGTCGTACTTTGGCCTATAATTGTTTCCTTTTTACAAATTGTGACTTTGATGGAGAGTTGTCCTCATTGGCACTCATACCACATCTTCTTATTTCTATTCATTGCAAAAGACACCAATGAACTCACTGTCAGTTTTAAAAATATTTCATAACAATAGCTATAAAATTATCTACTCATACATAATCATACCGGTATGGATGATTGATTGATTTATTGATTGGTGTTTAACGCCACTTTCGACACTATCATGCTATTTCGTGGCGGTGAGTTTATATTGGTGGAGGAAGCCGAAGTGTCCGGAGAGAACCGCTGGCCTTCTGTAGGAAAACTGACAATTCTAGTCAATTAAGCCGAAATAGATTAAAGGAGATATGGGATGAACTTCAACTCGGTGCATCACATTTGCGTGCAACTTTTTATTATGTGTTCGTGCATATTGTTCACAGCTTCAACTAGATGATTATGGATGGATGCTTGACGTCCAGCGGTAAATTGATATGCATATTCGTACGAGAACATGTTAATGTGATATGAATATTAACCCTGCTTTGTACTAGACCGACACCCTGAGCCGGATTTTCAACATGCTATTTCACAGGAAGACATGTCGCCTTACCCGGTCACATTATTCTGATTCCGAGCCGACCAGTCTTTGCTCTTACTCCTTAATTTCGCGTGCTTAGCAGGGAAGCAGCAAATATCGATTTTCAAGTCTTTGGTTCGAACCCACGACTTCCCGCACTCGAGGCGAATATGCTACCACGAAAGCACCGCCACTAGACAGTAACCCGCTATATAAAAGGTTTTGTGGGAAGCCGTTCATATATACACCTCCAGACTCAAGTAAACAGGGCTAACGTACCGAGCATTGATTTTTTTTGTTTGGCGAGTGGGGGGCATGTTTTTTTTGTAAATGTTTGATTCCAAATTTCTTGAAAGAGATTTTATCTATTTCAGAAGGGAAGCGAAATAGTTTGTTTCAATTGAAAATGAGGGGGAAATAAAACAATAATGAAATTAAAAAAACATAACCGTGTTAATGAAAAAAAAAGTTTATTTTTTATCAAAATCGAAAAATATGTTTGTTCTAAGCACAAAGAAATACACGTGCTCCTGCCCACACTAGATGAAATGTCGGTGCCTAACCAATCTGATTAAGATACAATGTACAGATCATCTGTCTAAGCATTGGATCGAGGATCTGACAACACTTCGTTTTACCTTCTGTTCTGGTAAATATTACATCAGCCAATGAAATTTCAGCCTTCAAATTTATGAAGGTGTGTATCAATCCGACAAAACCAGAGAATCCAATGGTCTTTAAAACAGAAATTAGAATGGAGCGTTTTCAGATCCGCGTAAGCAAAGCTTGGACACACAATATCTGTAATAAAAAAACTGCATTAATCTATTGTTTACTGAGGCCTGTTGGTCTCTTATAGATAGAGAGTTGTGTTTTGTGTTTTAATTTTTTTTAAGTGAAGATTTACGGCGGCGGCTTTTAATATTTTGCGTTTATCTTGAAAACTACAATAGATTTAAAAAAAAAACAAATAGTGCAATGTGTCTGAATATATTCTATAGTGAAGGTCCCATTTGGGCTATTTTAGCTCTTATGAGTTTAGTTGTTTTATTGCCTATTATCTTGATAAATTATCTATAGAGAAACCTTTCCTTGCAAAATGATAAAGACAAGAACAGATTTAAAAATAGATAAATTATAATTACGGTCATTTTCTTTCATTGGGGGAGGGGGGGACGTGGGAGGAAACATGGGAATTTCTCTTATTTTTCAAGTCTTGACCTTGAAGAAAGAAAAAAAAAACAATCAACGACCACCCCCCCCCCCCTTTTCCAAGGACATAAACATTTCACCCCATCCCCCCAAGCCCCCCCCCCCCCAAAAAAAAGTCACCATCGAACAGTCACACACACACACACACATTTCTCAATTCTTTTGTTCGTAATAACAAACAAAAAACGCATTAAGTTTCTATTGCATTATAAGTTTAAAATATTGCGTCAGTAGTGATCTAGAACTTCAAGTGTGGAAGTTGTTTGCGACTTTAGGGAACTTAATTTGGATATGCCGGTTATTGTCTCATTGATATTTACCACACCTTCATTCAATATTAGCTTCAGATAAAAAAAAATACACTGCTAGAAGAAATTGTTGAAACTAAGGATTTAGGTTTTAAAAATGAAGGCGAGCTCAGCGAGGCGTAAAAATTGATGTATTTCGAGTCAAAACTATTATTTTTTTACTGTGGGGGGAGGTGTACGATGAGGGTAGAACCCTGAACAGTTAGGGCAAGTATGGACACACCTTTCAAGCTTGATACAGCTCTGTCGGAATTCTGATATGATTAAATATCTGACACATCATAGGTTTGTGACACTGAATGTGGTCTAAGATTTTAAAAAGATGAAAATGGACATTTACCTATTATTAGGACCAATATCCAAAATCTAAATATATTGTTAGATTCAGCATATCAAAGAACCAAAAGAATTGTTTGAGTTGGTCCCGTTTTGGCCCCTAATTCCAAAACAGTTATTGTCTGGCAACAAAATATTTACGGACGACGAAGACATCTACATAACATTATACTGCGGCAAATCTATAACTTTAAAAAAATGGAATACCACCTTTCCATCCAAAAAAAAAAATTAAATCAAAGGCCCCCTTAATTTCTTCCTATCCCCTCTTTTTGGGGTTACAAATGACCGGTACCTTATATGAGTCATTACCCTATCAATGTCCGATTTTTTCCCCATTTTTGTGTCTATCTTAAGAAAAGTAATATATCAAGAGAAACTCGAACAGCTAAAATGATCAGCAAGGCAAAATTTACAAAAAATGAACATACTGGAAATTCATGTAATAACTTCTTATAGAAAAAACGCTAACGCTAGGTATAAAGATATTGACAAATATAATGCCTACCCTTGTTAAAATGAGCATAGAGCATGGCATAAAAGAATTATTTCTAACTATAACCGTATGTTCATTATTGTAGACCCCGTATGTTTATTATTGTAGACCCATCGATTAAAACTGAACTTTGCAATTCATATTTTGACAATTTTCCAACAATATCAGGTGTGATCTTTTTCATCTTAAAACGAGGTACCAACAAGCCAAGGTTTATCTCTTTTTAAATCTCAACCATTTTCCAAACGATAGCTACAGATTTGCCCTAGGTTTATAGTAATTCCACAGTAGCAAATCGGAATCAGTTATGACGTAGACAGTAATCGTTCTAATCGTAATAATGTTCATTGACCATAACGACGATAAAAGCACATCATATGATGACGTTTCGACATCACATAATGAAGTAAACCGAACCACATCATATAAGTTTACAACCACATCATATAATGACACAACCACATCATATAAAGCTGATTGTACATAATATAAGGACATCTGCACATCATATAAGTATATTTGCACATCATATAAGGATATTTGCACATCATATACGAATATTTGCACATAATATAAGAATGTTTGCACATCATATAAGTACATTTGTACATCATATAAGTACATTTGCACACCATATAAGCATATTTGCACATCATATAAGTATATTTGCACATCATATGAGGATGTTTTGACATCATATAAGGATACTTGCACAGAATATAAGGATATTTGCACATCATATAAAGGTGTTTGCACATCATATAATGACAAGTGCACATCATATAAAGGTAAATGCACATCATATAATTAAAATGGTCGTAACAAGACAGTTTTGGCGTTCCATAATATGAAGATCAATCATGATTTGGTGAAAAAAATCACCAAAAGGTGTGTTGCGTTTTTAAGGTCCGTCAGTATATAACGAGGTTTGCATGATTTCAGAACCAACCTTTAAGATATTTTCAGTACCAATATAACGACGAGTATATGGTTTTATGAAACAACATCCGTATCTGAAAACTATAGCTTTGGATACATACAACTCCATTAAAACTAGGAATAACATCTGGATACCATACCCTGAACTTGATGCCTGTCGTTGTTTACTGTAGACAGACTGATCTGACGGCAGACGTTAACTTATGAATGAAACCGCATAAGTAATATAAAAATAAGTTGATGAGATATGATAGATAATAGGACAACTATCAACAAAGAACGAGGATTAAACAACTGCACATTGAAAGAGAAAACCAACGGCCGTTACTCGTCCTCATCTTTTGCAGGGAAACCATGGGATGTGGCAAAAGTATAATACATTGTTAAAGATGTAAAACTAAAAATTAAACGTTTTCTTTTAAACGCCGATATTCAACGACATTATGAGTTGTTTTTTTTCTGAATAAAAGAATTATGCCTTTGAAATGTTCCAACAGATTTAACCAATCAGATGACAGATTTTATATTTTCGAAATTTGTTAAAATATGCATTTTGGTTTCAAACGTATTATTTAACGCTCAACTGCAAAACTTTTCAAAATAGCGTCGTTTTGGGGTCTTGTCATCATTTTAGTATGAACCACAGCTTTACAGATATACTAAACATGATATGTTGCTACCTTATGTCTTATATAGAGATGTATATGTAGGTAAACATTTTTTTTTCAACTGTCATACAAACGGGAGGTTTAGCTAGCTGTAAAACCTAACCACCGATGCCTGTACCAAGACAGGATATGAGTTGTTTTCCAGTCGTCCCGTTGTAATACCGAGCGTTTTGTTTTATCAATTTTTATGGACTTCCCTTTTTTAGAATTTACCTTGGAGCTCGGTATTTTTGTTAATACATTTTTTTAAAGGTGTCTCCTCACGTTTATATGTATTTATACATCGTTGACTTTCAAATGTCTGAGTTGGAGAGTTCTTGATAGAGATAAATCACGAATAACGCGTCGGACGAACGAAATATTATAAATTGTTTTTTTCGTTTTGTGAAATAGTATGTTTGAAATGGTTATTCTAGGTATCTTTTATTTCCTTTTTGTTACATTTAGACATATTGTTACATCACAGGTGACATTTCTGTTCTAAAGTGTACAAATTATATCATCCTATTCATTTATAAAAGTAATTAACAGAGTTTTGTGAGAATAGAAAAAATTCATAGTTTTTATTCTTTTTTCACGGCCATATAATGACTTTTATTAATCATACTAGATTCGTTATCGCTCATCAGGGATTTGGCAGGTGTCCTGAACGACGTCTCTTATAAAGACGATACTGATGTATTGTCTCATATATATAGAATAACCATACAATGTCTCGAAATATAAATTTTATTTGTACAAGGTTTAGAAACAGGTAGAAAGCGAGGCTTTGCCCAGCATTTCTATCCTGTTTTGAGCCCAGTACAAATAACATGTATATTTCGAGACAATGTATAGTAATTCTTTATATACTCCAACTAATACAACTGTTCCAAATGAAATATTTTTGGGTAAAACCATCATTTTTTAATTTGAAGCGAACGACGTAAAAATTCCGCGAACCTGTAATTTTACTGAGGTCATAAATAAAACTCTACGGAAACAAGACGGTATACGATCAGTGACTGTATATCACAAATGAGTATACTGTCAACGCAATTTGACTGCGCAAATAGCACAGCTGCAGTATATTACGTTATTATAAGATGCTGGGTTTTTTTCGGCTAGCCTTTTTGCCATGGTTTTATCGATTTCTCTTTGACTTATCTGACTGTTTATGACGTCTTTACACTAAATCCATTGGATGTTGGATGTGTACGGATTAATAATTTACTCTTAGGTGCATGATTTATTTTTATTAGTTGTTAGTGGCTTTGAACTAGCTGTCAGTAACTGCGAGTGCTCTCAGATCTGTACTTAGTGTCTTTTTGTTGTTTGGATGTACAAGTACCCGGCCACGTCCACTTGTATTTGTATTATTTGTATTTTTATCCATCTGATTAGTTAAGCCTCTTTCAACTGATTTTTATAGTTCGTTCTTATGTTGTACTGTTACACCACTGTCCCAGGTTAGGGGGAGGGTTGGGATCCCTCTAACATGTTTAACCCCGCCACATTCTGTATGTATGTGCCTGTCCCAAGTCAGGAGCCTGTAATTCAGTGGTTGTCGTTTGTTTATGTGTTACATATTTGTTTTTTGTTCATTTTTTGTACATAAATTAGGCCGTTAGTTTTCTCGTTTGAATTGTTTTACATTGTCATTTTGGGGCCTTTTATAGCTGACTGTGCGGTATGGGCTTTGCACATTGTTGAAGGCCGTACGGTGACCTATAGTTGTTAATTTCTGTGTCATTTGGTCTCTTGTGGAGAGTTGTCTCATCGGCAATCATACCACATCTTCTTTTTTATATTATAAATTTGTATTGTCCCTTTGGTATCTTCCGCTTGCTTTTTATATTAGTTCAGCTAATTATACAGATATAACTTTGTAGTAAATCTATCGTATGAAATACACAGACTAAATAACTGTTTATAATACATTCTTTTATGACAGTTCGTATATATGTAAAGAACTACATAAATACATGTATGAAAGACAATACTGGTTTTCTGAATTATTTCTCAGAATACACGCCACTGAGACCTTTTCCCACTTAAAAATGCTTTATCGAAGTATAAAAACTTTTGTGTTGCTCTAGAAAGCCAAAGAAAAGAAGCAAACATGATAAAACAAATTAAAACAGTACAATCATTAAACATAGTTGACAAATTTCGAAAGATTCACATTTCAGAGTGATTAGTGTAGAAATATGCTGCCATAAGGCTAATGAAGTTTTAAAACAAGCTTACCAAAGCAGGAAACCAGGTAATATACAGTAAAATAGACACCGCCATTACCATTTTAACACTATGTACAACAACAACTCCCTCTAACTGCCATCGGATTTCGTCCCGTTGATTTGGACCATTATTTGATCGGTACAAAGAACGTTTAACTTTTTTAAGGTTTAATACCATTGATACATTTGTTATAATTGCACACAAGAAATTTCCATACCCACTCGTTAATAAAGCACCAATGAAAGCAAACTCCTTTGGCTCAACAGGTTCCTCGTTAATCCAAGAACCACACGTGTTTTTAGCTTTTCTAAGTGGTCCAAATCCTAAAACTGGAAAACATGAAACAATTAAGGCGACAGTTACGGCGGTAAAAATTGCAAAGATAAGTTTTGTTTTGCCATGGTAACGTGCAGTAAAATTATGTTTGATGTAAAAATGTAGCGCCAAAGACTTGTCTATGCATAAGATTGAAACGATAAATATTGTGCTCAAACGAAACCAATTCGTGGTTACTTGGTAAAATTGACACGAAGTATCACCACCATACCATTTATCCTTAAAGTAGCTGAGATGACCCAGTGGTGTTGGTACAAGGACTGAGAGTATATACAAAATACTTAGAACAACAATGAGGTCATCAGTTGTAGTTCGTTCACTGTACTTCTTCCATCGAATTATAACGAATAATGGCAAACAATTCACAAGTATCATCAACACCTCTACGATGATGGTAAACGATCCGCTTATCTCTTGATAAGTGGCACTCTCTGTGTGTCGCTTATGTCCGTAAGAATGTATGTCCATATTGCTCAGCATTTGGTGAAATACAAGCATTTCATTCCGAAGAGGTTTTAAATTCTTTGTATGGAAATGCAAATTAACGACAACTTTATATAAATCGTAATAATTTCTTTTTATGTTTCTTTTCGAAAAGTTTCCCTTTTTATAATACAGTGTTATGTTGAAGCTCCAAAGTAAGTGTTGTCTGAAGATATTATAAAACTCTCTTGTTGACTTACTATTACACAAGTTGTACATTTATCACACAACTTTAATGTCGACATTTCAGAAAAGTTAAGATGAAACTTTTCTACGGTTTAAATGACTATTTTCCTGTTAATTTTGATGTCATTAATCCCATATTCCTCATAGTCTAGTTTGATGTCAAAACATTCGAATTAATCCCACATTCCTCATAAACATGATTATTTCATTTCCTTCAGTTCCATTAAACTTTCTAATAGTAGAAATCCTCTAGTTGATCAGCTTCATCATGCCGTGTTGATACTCTGAAATTAAAGAGGATAGTTTTCATTAATAGAGTTTACGTTTTACAGCTTCTCGGGAATTAATATCTGTTATATTAGTTCGATGTAATGCGATACCTCCCTGTCCAGGGCTAAGTCTCTAACTAAGCAGAAACTATTAACACATTATTATGGCATGATTAGATAGGTCCTTGGACATTAGTATTCTCTCAACGGTTTCCGTAGTCATTGCAGATTCGTCTTTTATCGGATATTGTCTTTCTTTCAAATTAATGATTTAGACAGTACTGTTAGAGGAATGTATTGGCATCTAATACTTTCATAAGCACTGAATGTTTGCAATTGTAAACTTTTATTTAGAAAGTAGTTATTTCAGATAAGGCATGATAAACTACCTGTATTCAACAACTTGTTTATTGTGACATCTTATTTAAAAAGATTAGTGAACAACACCATTTAAGCAGAGGCGTTTCGAGCTGAAATAAACTTTGAGGAATAAAGACATCTACTTCCAATGTGTCATTCAGTTTTAAATCAGTAAAAGACAAATAGTTTTAAAAGTATTCATGAGATATAATCTTCTCATAACTGAGTGGCTTTAGCCACGAAGATATGAGACGACTATATCTAATTTACAAAGAAGTAATAAAAAATCATTTTATCTTTTGTCTTATTCTAAAAAGAGAAATATGTCTTGATAAATCAGGAATAGTTACTCTTTCATAAGATGTTTTATAATTAATGATTTGGAATGAAATCTTAATTTTTTCTATTTTTCTGTCATCAAATGTTAATGCCTTATCACTGCTTTTGTATGACAATGAATCACTGTTCTCTGTTGTCTATTACTGGTTTGATTGCATAAACTTTTATGTTAATGGCGGAATTGTTTTCGGTGACATAAAAATGAGTAAATCTAGCAAAATGAAAAAAGTGGAAAAATGAGAAGAAAACAGATTATTTTTTTGTTTTGTGTTTTTCAAGTTAAACATCCAGTATACACAATTTTATAGAAATATTTTAGTTGGGAAAAGGTCGAATCTTGTAATCTTAAATATGAACATGAGATTGTGATTCTGTCGCGAGTGTTGAATAAAAACGTGATAGTACACTTTTGCAGTACATCTCGAATGAAATGTGATACAGCAATGTATCACAGAGATAGAGATATTGATTCGAGCGTATCTTGTATAAAAAAAGAGAGATATGAATTAAGTAAAACAAAAAACATGAGGGGGGGGGGGATTCTATTTCATACAATATTCGAATATTTTGTTTATCTCGTTTTACAAACAAAAGTTTTAATGGTCAATTGATATAACGAAATGAGGAAACGAACACCACATCTACATCGTGTTTTGATATTGCATACTTTTGGGTTTGTGTTTATCTTTATTTTTTATTTGTGTGTACAGATACAAATGAATTTAATTAAAGCATCTATATATAATTTGTCAATATAAAAATGTTTTCATGAAAATACAAAGTTATTATCCTTAGAATATTGATGTATTATGTCAATCTTGAAACGTTTAGAGATAACCTTTATGGAATAACGAGGACAGACATACATGAACAAACATTACTTTTGTTGTTCAAGGCAGCCACATTTGTATTACCATTTCCTTACTTTGAAATATCATTTATCCTGCAATTGGGTGTCTTATCATACATTAACAGCCCAACAGATATCGCTAGCCTGTATTTGTATACTATACAGATATCGCTTTAAAGCTCCGCCCACTGCCGGACTACTTTGTGTATTGCTGTTGACAAGTGTTGTATGAACTTTCGTGACCTCAGAATGTGTCTTGCATTCGCATTCTGGACAATGACGTATTGCTTGACCTTAAGCGAACTATATATTAATTTTAATTTACGTTCTGTTTGTTTTCAAGCATTTCTTGAGAGCAATATGAAATAAAAATGAAAATATTTTGTCTTTCATGAACAGCAGGATTAACTCCATTTTCTACGGAGCCAATCTTCAAGTTCAAAACTTGAATGTGTACATGTGTAACACACAAAATCAACCATGCAACAAAAAATGTCAATAATCAGTGAATGTCACGGTCAGTTCGAAATTCTGAAGCGTAGGACAAATCATACACCTTTGTCTTAAATCGAAAAATGTTTTGTTTTTTTCTTTTTACTGTTGAAATTAGTTGTTATGTTATAATAAATAATTGTTAACTTTGAGCGATGTATTATTGTTGACCGTGCGAGATTCTTTTCGGCGTACCGGTCATCAGCTGATTATGTGATTCTTGTTTTAATATTACTACGCGGGCCTCAAAGGTAAAATAAACAAAAACTAATTTATTTTAAATCGAAAAAAAATGCAATAAATGTGAGTTTTTCTGTCTTTCAAAGCAAAAACAATTTACAAAATTCATTGCAGGATAAAGACAATGACTGTTTAGTGTCTTTAGATATCAGCTGTATTTGTACTCGGCTCGAAACAGGAGTAATAGCTCGCTGAAGCTCGCATTACACCTGTTTCTTAGCCTCGTACAAATTAATACAGCTGATATTTAAAGACACTAAACAGTTATTGTCTATTTATATATCAACCCGGTATGAAATCGATATTTCGGCAACCGTAGCACAATGTATGTTTCAAAAAGTTTATCAATCAGAAGTTATATGAAGGTGATTTATCTTCATTTTCAAAAATAACTTTCCACGTTTAAAAGAATTATAGTGAGATATCACTTGTTTACGAATTTGCGCATTATATGTAGGCGTTTTATTCTCATTTTACCAGCAAATATGGGGAGAAGTAAAAACTATGCAATTCATTTTGGTTGATATTAAGCATTTTGAATAAATATATAAATACTTGTATGAAATAACGTTTTACTTTTCACACTAGATGTCGCTATTTTATCTCATCGTCTACTTGTTTGTCTTTTCGTCGTCTTTGGTTGGTTTATTTTCTATGACGTTGTCAGTTACTCTCGGCTTTTGAGTTTTGAATGTCCCCTTGTTTTCCATGACGTTGTCATTTACTCTCGGCTTTTGAGTTTTGAATGTCCCCTTGTTTTCCATGAGTTTGTCAGTTACTCTCGGCTTTTGAGTTTTGAATGTCCCCTTGATTTCCATGACGTTGTCAGTTACTCTCGGCTTTTGAGTTTTGAATGTCCCCTTGTTTTCCATGACGTTGTCAGTTACTCTCTGCTTTTGAGTTTTGAATGTCCCCTTGTTTTCCATGACGCTGTCAGTTACTCTCTGCTTTTGAGTTTTGAATGTCCCCTTGTTTTCCATGACGTTGTCAGTTACTCTCGGATTATGAGTTTTGAATGTCCCCTTGTTTTCCATGACGTTGACATTCAAAACTCATAGGCCGAGAGTAACAGACAACGTCATGGAAAACAAGGGGACATTCAAAACTCAAAAGCCGAGAGTAACTGACAGCGTCATGGAAAACAAGGGGACATTCAAAACTCAAAAGCCGAGAGTAACTGACAACGTCATGGAAAACAAAGGGACATTCAAAACTCAAAAGCCGAGAGTAACTGACAACGTCATGGAAAACAAGGGGACATTCAAAACTCAAAAGCCGAGAGTAACTGACAACGTCATGGAAAACAAGGGGACATTCAAAACTCTAAAGCCGAGAGTAACTGACAACGTCATGGAAAACAAGGCGACATTCAAAATTCAAAAGCCGAGAGTAACTGACAACGTCATGGAAATCAAGGGGACATTCAAAACTCATAAGCCGAGAGTAACTGACAACGTCATGGAAAACAAGGGGACATTCAAAACTCAAAAGCCGAGAGTAACTGACAGCGTCATGGAAAACAAGGGGACATTCAAAACTCAAAAGCCGAGAGTAAATGACAACGTCATAGAAAACAAGGGGACATTCAAAACTCATTAGCCGAGAGTAACTGACAACGTAATGGAAAACAAAGGGACATGCAAAACTCAAAAGCCGAGAGTAACTGACAGCGTCATGGAAAACAAGGGGACATTCAAAACTCAAAAGCCGAGAGTAACTGACAACGTCATGGAAAACAAGGGGACATTCAAAACTCAAAAGCCGAGAGTAACTGACAACGTCATGGAAAACAAGGGGACATTCAAAACTCATAAGCCGAGAGTAACTGACAACGTCATGGAAAACAAAGGGACATGCAAAACTCAAAAGCCGAGAGTAACTGACAGCGTCATGGAAAACAAGGGGACATTCAAAACGCAAAAGCCGAGAGTAACTGACAACGTCATAGAAAACAAGAGGACATTCAAAATTCAAAAGCCAAGAGTAACTGACAACGTCATGGAAAAAAAGGGGACATTCAAAACTCAAAAGCCGTGAGTAACTGACAGCGTCATGGAAAACAAGGGGACATTCAAAACTCATAAGCCGAGAGTAACTGACAACGTCATGGAAAACAAAGGGACATGCAAAACTCAAAAGCCGAGAGTAACTGACAGCGTCATGGATAACAAGGGGACATTCAAAACTCAAAAGCCGAGAGTAACTGACAACGTCATAGAAAACAAGGGGACATTCAAAACTCAAAAGCCGAGAGTAACTGACAGCGTCATGGAAAACAAGGGGACATTCAAAACTCAAAAGCCGAGAGTAACTGACAACGTCATAGAAAATAAACCAACCAAAGACGACGAAAAGACAAACAAGTAGACGATGAGGTAAAATAGCGACCTCTAGTGTGAAAAGTAAAACGTTATTTCATACAAGTATTTATATATTTATTCAAAATGCATAATATCAACCAAAATGAATTGCATAGTTTTTACTTCTCCTCATATTTGCTGGTAAAATGAGAATAAAACGCCTACATATAATGCGCAAATTCGTAAACAAGTGATATCTCACTATAATTCTTTTAAACGTGGAAAGTTATTTTTGAAAATGAAGATAAATCACCTTCATACAACTTCTGATTGATAAACTTTTTGAAACATACATTTTGCTATGGTTGCCGAAATATCGATTTCATACCGGGTTGATATATAAATAGACAATAACTGTTTAGTGTCT